CTCATAGAGGGACTTCCTCTCCTGTGCTGTCCCTCCACCCTCCCAAGCATGATGTCCTTCTCCAAGGACCGGTCTCACCTCACAACATGTCCAAAGTATGTTAGACGGAGCCTCAGAATCCTTGCCTCCAAGGAGCCACTCGGTTTAACCCTTTCCAGGACAAATCTGTTCATTTTCCTAGCAGTCCATGGTACCCTCAATACTCTTCTCCAGCACCACAGCTCAAAGGCATCAATTCTCCTTGTATCCTCCTTGGTCATTGTCCAACTTTTGGCACTAGCAATCATAAAACCAGAAGATGAGTTGCATTGGGAAAGTCTGCTTTCAAGGACCTCTCCAGAGTGCTGAAGAGCAATGATGTTAGTCTAGAGACTAAGGTGTGCCTGATCCAGGTCATGGTCTTTGCAATTACTTGCTATGCATCAGAGAGCTGGACAAAGACAAAGAATGACAAATGCCTTTGAGCTGTGGTGCTGGAGACAAATATTGAGCATACTGTGGACTGCCAAGAGAAGAAATAAGTCTGTCCTATGGATTGCTCCTCGGAGGCAAAGAATTTGAAACTCCATCTCACATACTTTGGACATGTTGCCAGGAGGAAGCAGTCCTTGAAGAATGACATTATGCTTGGAAGGGTAGAGGGTCAGCACAGCAGAGTAAGATTCTGGATGACTTAAAGTGACACAGAAACTGTGGAAATAGGGGTAGGTGTGTCAGGGACAGTGAGTTGGCTCAGGATAGGGCAGGGTTCAGAGCTCTTGTTCAAAGTGTCTTTATGCGTGGTAGTCAATTCAAAGGCACCTAACAACAACAAATAGCCATTTTGTTGTTGAGGAGTACAGACAAGTTGGAACCAATTCACAGGGAACCCCTCCCCCTCACACCTCCCCCCCCCACCCCAGTGGGCTTTCAGAGACAGTTAATCACACAGGAGATTGCCCTTCCTTCTCCTGAAGAGCAGGTGGTAGATTCAAACCATGTGCTTTTGGGATTGCAGCACAGCTTCTTTCCAGAATGTCATCAGGGCTCCCTGGCCAGACCAACTAACAGATAAAGATTCATATTTGTTCCCATTTGGTACATTGACAGGGAACTGCAAGGAGCTCAAGCTGGCTTTAGAAGAGGCCATGGCACCAGAAATATCATGCTAATGTCAGATGGATCCTGGCTTAAAGCAGAGAATATCAGAAAAACACCTGTTTGTTATATTGACTGTGTAAAGGCATTTGACTAGGTGCATCAAAACCAACTATGGCTAACATTTAGAGGAATGGGAATCGCAGAACACTTAATTATGCCCATGTGAAATCTGTATCTAGATTAAGAAACCGTTGTCTGAAGGCAACAAGGCATGGTTTAAAATCAGGAAAGGTGTGTGTCTGGGATATTATCTTTTCTCCATATTTGTTGAATCTGTATGATGAATAAATTATTTGAGAAGCTGTACTCTGTGAAGAGGAATGTGGCATCAGGATCTGAAGAAGAGTTAGCAACGACTTGTGTTATGCAAATGACACTAAAACCTTACTTGCTGAAAGTGAGGAGGACCTGGAATACTTAACACAAGAGAATCAGAACTACAGCATTCAATATGGATTACATCTCAAAATCAAGAAAACAAAGGTCCTTACCACTGGGCCAGTAGGTGACTTCATGATGATGGAGAATGGATTAAACTGTCAATTTCATCTTACTTGGATCCACAATCAGCACCCTTGGTAGAAGCAGTCAGGAGATCAGGGAACACGTTGCAATGGGCAAATCTACTGTCAGGGAACTCTCCAAAACACTGAAGAGTAATAATGTTAGATTGAAGACTAGGGTGTGCCTGATTCAAGCCATGGTCTTTTCAATAACCTAATATGCCTCTGAGAGCTGGACATTGAGTAAGTATGACGGAAGAATTGATGCTTTTGAGTTGTGGTGTTAAGAGTGATGACTATCCCAAAGGAACAAACTTGGAAAAGGTGCAACCAGAATGCTTCATATTTTGACTATGTTGCTAGAAGAGACTATTCCTTGGAAAGTGATCTCATGCTTGGAAATGTGGAGGGTCAGTGAAAAAAAGGAAGACCCCTCAAACAAGATGGATTGATGGTGACTGCAACAATGGGCTCCAGGGTATCAGAGTTAATGAAGATGTCCCAGGATTTAGATCTGCTGTTCATAGGGTGGCTGAGTCCACTCAACTCGAGGGCACCTAACATCTAGAGCACTTTTGATTTCTGCTGATGTTTTAGCTTGTGAAACAGGTCTCAAGGCAGTCCTGTCTGTTGTTGTTGCTATGTGCCATCGAGTCGTTTGCGACTCATAGCGACCCTATGTACAAGAGCTCTAAACGCTGTTCTATCCTGTGCCAACCTAGCCATCTCAAACACACTTATTCCCACCGCTCCTGTCACAGAATCGATCCATCTCATCGAGGGTCTTCCCTCCACTCTCCCAAACATGATGTCCCTCTCCAAGGACCAGTCCCTCCTTGCAACATGCCCAAAGTATGTCAGACGAAGCTTCAGAATCCTTGACTCCAAGGAGCATCCAGGCTTCACCTTCTCCAGGACAAACCTGTTTGTTCTCCTAGCAGTCTATGTTATATTCAACACTCTTCTCCAGCACCACAGCTCAAAGGCATCAATTCTCTTTCTGTCAACTCTATTCACTGTCCAACTCTCTGATGCATAGCACGTAATTGGAAAGACTATAGCCCGAATCAGGCACAGCTTAGTCTCCAGACTGACGTCGTTGCTCTTCAGTACTCTTGAGAGGTCCCTTACAGCTGACTTTCCCAATGCAATTCGTCTCTTGATTTCCTTTCTTCAATTTCTTTTCTTGACTGGCTGCTGTCACCAAGAGTGTTGACTGTGGAGCCAAGCAAACTAAAACTGTTAACTATCTCAGTCTCCTCACCATCCATACCGATGCTGTCCTGTCTAGACAAGTAAAAACAACATTATGAAAAATCCCTTAAGACTGTAAAGTCACTGCTCTTCTGCAGACTAACTTCTAGGCGATAGTGAGAGATAGTGAGAAGTTACTTTTCAGGGCTTCTGAGGCTCAGAACAAGGTGATCTTCTCCCGAGTTTCTCTCTGCAGTAGTGGCCGAGGTCGAGCTGCTTTGCAGGCGCCACGCCTGCTCCCGGCATTTTTGGTGTGTGTCTTATACTAGTACTTAAAGGGTCCTCTTGTTAAAAATGTCAAGACCTGCTTTCCACCACCTCCGCCTGCCCTGTCCCTGTCCTCCCTGTTTCTCCCATCTAGCAAACACAGGGCAGGACTTCTAGTTAACCACGCCCCTCGCGTGCGCACCGCCGCCGCCGTATGGGCGATCCCGGAAGCCGAGGACTTTCAGCCACGATGCTGATTGGTTGTTCCTGGTCATATTTTTCATTATTTTGTATTGACCCTAAAGAACATGGCCAAGCTAGATCAGGACTTGCGGGAGCTTCTGGGACCTCTGCGCCCGTTCAAGGACCTGGTGGAGGAAGATAATGAGTATTTAAAAGAGGATGTAGAGGAAGATGAAGACCCAGTGTTTATCGATGCTGAGGAGCTCTGCAGCGGGGGCATTAAGGCTGGTTGCCTCCCTGATCGCCTTGGAGGTGGGTGCTCGCGCTGCTCCCTGGGGGGTGGATCGGAGAAGAACCTAGAGTTCTCTTTCTAGCCTTGTCCTTAGAAGGACAAGCAAGGCTCCCATTCATTACTAAGACCTGTCTTTGGGAATGCCTAGCTATTTTGTCCTATTTAGGATTAAATGCAAATAATAGCAGTGACTTTAATTGAGGACGTACTATATATTAAACTTGGCCTTTATATTGTTAGCGCAGTCCTTTGAGATAGTTTTGCAGATGAGGAAATAGTCACAGGATGCTGTATGGTCTTGTGCAAGATCAGGCAGTTAGTGGATGTGTATTCTGTATGAAAACACAGACTCAGGGCTATTAATTATAAACTTAACACTAGTGACGCCTCTGGCAGTTCGAATCTACCTGCCACTCTGAGGGAGAACGATGGGCAGTCTTCTCCTGTGCCGTTCATAGCCTCTGAAAACCCATAGGAGGGTCAGCTATGAGTCAACTCCCACCGGATGGCAATGAGTTTTGAGTTAGGAGTGTTCTACCTGGGATCAAAGAGGGGGTATTTTCAGCGAATTAGGAGAGAACATAAGGGGAAACTCAGCTAGGTTTCTTTAACATGATTTTTTGTGCTATAAAATACAAATTTTCGGCTACTTAACTCGTATTAGAGTTATAAGAAATGGCACACTATGTGTGACACCCACATACACACTTTATGCTATGCTAGTAGTATGTTGTGCATACGGCAGGGCTGCAGTGCATGATTTGCTGTTATTCGCATGACAATTTCCAAAGACAAAATAGTGTTTGGGTTTATAAATTCACTGATAATAAATGGTAATAGTAATGAAAACATGTTGTGTTTTTTTAGGTTGAGATTTTAATGAAAGTTTATCAAGAACTTGGATTTCCATTCATTCATTGTTGTTTTAAAAGAGTACAGTATCCTTGGAGAGGGAAGTCATCTTGGGAGGGTTGGAGGGATAGTGCAAGAGAGGAAGACCCTCGAGATGGATTGATTCCGTCACTGGGTATGTCAGAGGCAATAAGATTGGCACAGGATAGAGCAGGGTTAGGGCTGTTGTACATAGGGTCGCTATGAGTCGCAAATGACTGCATGTAACAACATTTAACTGACATCAAACTAACCAACTAACTGTTTAGTTCTCTAATTGGAACTCTGATGTAAGTTGAGGACTCCTTCTTTATTAGTTAGTTGTATTTGTGACTAATATTTCAAAATTCTTTTAATATTCAGACAGGTGCTGTCCAGTGGAATTTTCTATGGTCATAGACGTGTTCTGTGTCACTCTGGTGAATAAAACAGCCACGTGTGGTTAATGGGAATTTCAGATACAGCTAGTGCAGTGAAAGAGCTGAAAAGTGTACGTGCAGGCTCAGACAGAAGGTTTTCAAGTACCTGTGGGATATTTAGTGGTTCTTAAAAATATTATTGACTGGTTACCTTATTTCAGAGGCTTTCTGGCAGCACAGTTGTTAAAACACTGAACTATTAACTCTATGGTTGTAGTTGGTGAAGTACTGAATTTTACTAGCACTTCCATAAGTGAAAAGACTTGGCAGTCGGTTCCTATAAAGATTGCTCTTTGCCTTCGAGTTGGAACCAATCCTTCTAGCTGGTCAGAGGCAGTAACCCCAATTCTGCAGAACAGAATTGTATTTCATTCTGCAGATTAGATTTGAACCATGTGCCTTTCTGATTGCAATGCAACTTCTTACCACTAGGCCACCAAAAGCCTAGGAAATTGAATGTTGCAATTTTGTTCTATTGTAAAAGGATGCTGGGATGAATTGAACTGGCTCAGTGAAACACAATAACGTTTCATGGAAATAATTTGATGAGATTCCTAAATGATGAAATTCCTGTATTAGTGGAGATTACAGTCTAGTGCCTTCAGGACTAGTGCTTCTTTGCCACTAGGCTACCAGACATCCAGTGAATTAAATAGACATTCTTAAATCAATCATAGAAACCTAGTGGAGAGTTGCCATGAGTCAAATTGACTCCACAGCAGTGGATCTGAATATTATTTTTCTTTTTAAGAAGGAATAAGATCATGCTATGAGGGGTTCTATTAATGAGTTTTAGGGAAGGCTTTCCGGAGTAAGCAGTGATTCTTAAGTAAGCTAGATATAAAGACAGCATTTAAGGAAGATGGAACAACTTGTGCAAAGGCATCACTTATGGTTAAAGGTAGTGTGGCATTTTTAGGAACTAGATGAAGGCAAATATTGGCTGAAATCAGAACAGCAGTGAATGGTTTGCTCTTAGAATAAGAAGAGCTGTATATTGTTCTCACCTCTTGGCTTACAAAGACAAATGAAACACAGTACCTGGCTAGAGAGCTTCAGTGGAGTAGAGAGAAATAAACATATCGGTACAATAAAGCACTGACAGTGTCCCACAATACACATGTGTACTGGGATTAAAGATAATGGTAAAGATGATTGATAAAATGTTTGGGAAAGGGTTTTAAAATATCCTAACTTTATTCTTTTTTTTTTTTCAAGTTTCCATTTATGATGAAAATACCCAAGAAAAATATGACGTTTGGGGACGTTTTCCATTAATAGGTCCTTGGTGGCGAGTGAGAGTCCGAGTGAAGCTGGTGGGAAAGCACTATCAGACACAAGGGTTTCCATCCTACTTTTTACAGTCTGATATGTCACCACCAAACCAATACCATATCTGTTCCCTGTTTCTTAATGAATGTAATGTCTCCGATGAATTTAAAACTAAGTTTTTTAAATGGGTAAATGAGGTGTCAAGCTACAAAAACCTGAACTTTGAAAATATTAGAGAAGTATTAAGAACTTTCCAAAAGGAGAGAGAGAAGAAAAGTAAAAATAAATCAGCCCAGAGTGAACAGGAAGAGCCACTCCCAGATCATCAGATGAGTCTTCCACTGGAAAACACAAGTAAGTGTGATTTTGTCACTGTGTTTTTGTGTAATTGAGACTCTTCCACTGGAAAACACAAGTAAGTGTGATTTTTGTCACTGTGTTTTTGTGTAATTGAGACACTTCTCATCTTAATATTGTGGCATGTTGTTGTTGTGTGCCGTTGAGTTGGAAGCAACCCGTGCATGACCCTCCTGCGGGTTTTCAGAATCAGTAAATTGCGTCTGAGGAGGTTGCCCATCCTTCTTCCAAGGAGCGGCTGGTGTATTTGAAGTGTGTGCCTTTGGATTGGCGATGTAACTTGCTACCGCTAGGCCACCAGAGCTTCCTAAAAATAATAAAATGTGATAATAAATGCAATGAAGAACCTTTGAACATCGTAAAAAGGGAGATGATAAGCTCAACTTTGTATTTTAGGAAGGTCATAAATTTGCTTAACCACCAAGCTGTTTTAACTAAACTGTCGGCCTATACCACATCTGTATAGTTGAACATGGCTCGAGAAAAAACAGCTCTTCCAGTTGATCTCAGCGTTAGTGAGAGTCATCAATTAGATTCACCTGCTATTTCACCTCTTTCGGTTCTTTCAAGTGTGTTCTCTGCTCTTAAACAAAAATTACATGTTCTAGCTAGACTTTCACTTTCTCTAAGTTGATAAAACTACTTTTGAAATTGTCAGAGATTTTTATTGTACTTTGATCCATAATTAAAGCTCATGGAAACAGCAGTCAGAAAATTAAATGACATATTACCTTAAACAGATGGATATATAAAGCTTCTTTAAGTTGTTAAAATGTTAAAAAAGCAAACATAGGTCTGACTTTGAGAACTAAGGTGTGTCTGATTCAAACCATGGTAATTTCAGTAACCCTGTATGCAATATGGAAGCGGTACAGTTCATAAAGGAGAACACGGAGAAATGATGCCTTTAAAGTTTGGTGTTTCAAAAGTATAAATATGCCATGGGCCCTCCTCTTTAATAACTGCTGGCCAAATGCATTTTTAAATAGGAGGCCATCTGCAGCCCTCTCACCTGGTTTTAATTCATTTTGGTCAAACGTACTTCTAAGGGTTATATCACCATTCTGTCCATTTGCTGTGATGCTGAACACTGTGACACTGATGTGTCAAATGTGATAATGGTTACCCATGGTGGACAACGTTTAGTGGACTTCCCCACTTAAAACAAGCTTGGAAGCAGGAGTGGCATCCACTTCCAAAATAGCTTGCCTCCGGAAACTCTATGAATATGGAGAAAGGGTGAAAGTTAATTATACAAGTGTTCAGGTCTTTCGTTCATAGGGTCGCTATGAGTCCTCTCCGACTCGACAACACCTAACAACAACAACAACAACAACATACATAAGGCTACAGTGAGTTGGAACTAATTAGGCAGCACCTAAGAAGAGTGTATGCGAGAGATGTGTCCTATTCCCATACCTTTTCAATCTATATGCAGAAAAGATTATCCTGGAGCCTGGGCTCTCTGAGGAGAACCGTGGTATCAGGATTGGAGGAAGACTTATTAACAATCTGCATTATGCAGATGACACAACCCTGCTTGCTGAAACTGAGGAGGAACTGAATTGCTTGCTGCAGAAGGTCAAGGACTGCAACCTTAAAGATGAATTGAAGCTCAATATCAAGAAGAAGATTCTCACCACTGGGCCAATTGGCAGCATTGTGATGGATGGTGAAGAGATTGAGATTGTAAACAGCTTTAGTTTGCTTGGCTCCATGATCAACACTCTTGGCACCAGCAGGCAGGAAATGAAAAGACATATTGCACTGGGAAAGTCAGCTGAAGAGACCTCTCCAAGGTACTGAGGAGCTATGATGTCAGTGTGGAGACCAAGGTGCACCTGATACATGCCATGGTCTTTGCATTTGCTTGCTATGCATCAGAGAGCTGGATAGTGATTAGGGATGAGAAGAAGAATTGAGGCCTTTGAGCTTTGGTGTTGGAGAAGAGTATTGAGTATACCATGGACTGCTAAGAGAAGAGGTTCATCCTGGAGAGGGTGAAATGAGGCTCCTCTTTGGAGGCAAGGATTCTGAAGCTTTGTCTGAGGGACCAGTCCTTGGAGAGGGATATCATGCTTGGGAGGGTGGAGGGACAGCATAGGAGGGGAAGACCCTTGATGAGATGAATTGATTCAGTGACTGGGGTAATGGGTGTAGGTGTGTCAAAGACAATAAGATTGGCACAAGATAGAGAAGAGTTTAGTTAGGGCTGTTGTACATAGGGTCACAGCACATAACAACAACAATAATTAAGGAATTTGTTTCCTAAGTCCATTGGCTAGTTATCAGTTTCCCATCTGTGAGCAAAATTTAGTCCTAACAATTCTTCTGTTTCCCCTCTTTCCCAAGATGACCTCTCCTCCAGGCTTCTGGCTTTGTATATCAACTATATACAAAGCGTGGAGTCCCATTAGTAACGTGTTAGACTGCCAGCTGTAATATCAGTTGTTAAAGTCTACCAGGTACTCCATGAGAGAAAGATGAGCAGCCTCCTCCTATAAAGAGACACATCAGAAACTGGGGGGAAGGAGGGTTGTTCGGAGTTGGATCGACTCAACAGCAGGTAGTGGGTGCATACCAAGATATAGGCAGACTGCTCTAGTTTGACCCCCTCCTTAAATAAAAACAGGAATGTTCTGTTGCCTCCTCACCTTTTTCACCTCCTTTGAAAATGGCAGCTTTTTTTGTTATTCAGGCTAGTATTTATAGTGCTGTCATTGAATTCTCTTTTCTCGTAGCCCATATCCAGTCCATGTGCAAATAGTGTTGGCTTCACCTTTTTAAAAAATAGATTCAGAGCCTCCAGATTTTCATCACCTTCCCCACCACCCCCCAGATCTAAGCCACCATCATTTCCACCAGGACGTTAGCTGTCATCTCATGAGTACTTCTTTTCAACTCCTTCTGTTTATTCTCAGCAGGCTGTCAGAAAATAATTATTAATCAAATTACTTCTGTGCTCAAAAATATTGTGACTTCCCATCACAGCTAAGATAAAGTCTGAAGTATTAGTTTTAAAGTAAAGCTTTTAAGGTAAAGTGACTAGTACTGAATATCCCACTGACTGCCAAAAGAACAAACAGATCCCTCTTGGACCACAGTGCCTCTTGGAAGCAAGGATGGTGAAATCTTATCTCATATACTTTGGTCATGTGGATGAAGGGGCTGGTCCTTTGAAAAGTACGTCATTTTTGGAAACTTGGAGGGTCAGCATAAGAGATGAAGACCGTTGACAAGGTGGATTTACAGTGCCTGTAGCAATGGGGCTGAAATGTGTTGGAGATGGTGAGGATGGCACAGGATAGGTCAGGTTTCAGATCCATTGTTCATAACGTCACTGTGAGTCACAATTTGATAGCACTTAACAACAACCACCACCACCTGATCGGATTCCTATTAATCTTCCTGACTACACCTAATGTTTTGTTGTTGTTGTTGTTATTTGCCTTCGAGTCGCTTGCGACTCATAGCGACCCTATGTACAACAGCCCTAAACGCTGCTCTGTCCTGTGCCAATCGCATTGTCTCTGACACTCCCATCCCGATTATCCCAGTCACTGAATCAGTCCACCTCATAGAGGGCCTTCCCCTCCTGCGCTGTCCCTCCACCCTCCCAAGCATGATGTCCTTCTCCAAGGACCAGTCTCTCCTCACAAC